CATTTTATATAAGGGACTTGAGCATCTGTGGATTATAGTATCTGTGTGTGTGGCAGGGGGAAGTGTCCTGAAACCAATCCCCTGAGGATACCAAGGGACAGCTAGAAGTGTTTCTTGGTTACATATCTGTACAGGAATTAAAACATGTTTGTGCTTAAGCAAGGGCTGAACTATCTGTTTAGATAAGTCAATATATAAGTAAATTACTCATTAGTGGGAGGAATATATAATGCCTGAAAGCGATGATATTATTCCAAAGGATGTCATAGAACTCTCAAATTATTGATTTGACATAGTCCTATGTACCAAGAATTATTCCAAACCATTTACAAATATTAACTAATTTCATTCTTATAACAATCATAAGTAGATAAAGTTGATTTTTAAATTCTTGGCACAAGTGATATATGTTGAAATTTTTAAAAAATAGTGAACGGAGACTCACAGGTAGGTAACTGATGGTATATGTATAACCTATGACACTCATTCTGGAAGAAATACAACTACATATGTGCCAGAACATAAAAAAGGGAAAACATTTTATTGACTAGGTAGCAGCAAGTAAGAAATAAAGTCATGAGATAATTATTTAAAAATACAAAATAATGTTAAGTAAAGGTTTATTTCCACCTATTTCGGTTATATGTGCAATTTCCAAGTGTTCTAAGACTCTGTAGAAGTGGGGTGGGTTCAGCAGATTTGGAGAAGCGTGGACTTGGGGTGGCTCATTGAAATATTAGATGTGTCCTATAATTGGGAGATCAGTAAATAACCATCAAAGTATATGTATGCATGGCATTTGTGTGAGTAAAGATATGAGTTCATAAATAAGTTTTCTGAGAAGATATATGGAGGGTGTCTGAGATAAACTTTTATAAGTATGCATGAACAGGTTCAATATTTGTGGACATTTGAGAGCGTGGATGAGTTGTTCTGTGACACTTATGAGCTCTACAGAGCCCTGAAGACTCAGATGTTCATTCTGCAGTAAGATGAGAATATGTTGGATATGTGGTTTGATGTTGTTTATATGAAAGAGCTTCATGGAGAATGACAATAATATCAGATTAGGATTCAAGAGACCTAGATCCTAGTGTCTACTAACTCCAACTTTGTCAACTCACTTAACATCTTGAGGCCTCAACGACTGCATTTATCAAATAAGAGAGTAGGACTAGATGATCTCAAGAGTCCTTCTAACGTGCCAACAGATGATGAATTTGGAATCATGTTTTTCAGAGCTTTATTTTAATTTCATATTCTTTATATTAGTTGAGTTGGCCAAAACACATAATAGAACACTGTTATAAAATCATTTATTATTGCATAGATAGAAATATGCTACTGGTCAGTCAAGTCACATTCACCATAACTGATCACCAAATATCACAATCTAAGGTTTTGATACGTGTGTTATTCATGGCTTACCAATATTGGCATCAAAGGGTTTCATGGTGTAAAGACACATCTTACAATACACGACAACTTATGAAACGTATCAGCTAAAATTCCTGGATATCTATCATTGTATACCCATTGATAGTGTGTTTTGGATTTGGGTTTTTCTTTTTTGTTTTTATTGTTTTCTGGCAGTTGTTAAATTGGGGTGAATGACATATCTGTAGTCCCAGTTTGATCTCGTTCAGTTCACAACAATAATATAAGCTAACATAAATTGAGTTCTTCCTTCATGCCAGTTATTGCGCTCTGTGTTTCACTTGCCTCATTTCATTTAATCCTATCAACAACCTTGTAAAGTGGGACGGATGAAGGAACTAAGATGAAGAGATTGAGTAACTTCTTTTCTTTTTTAGAGACAGTGTCTTGATTTGTCACCCAGGCTGGTGTGCAGTGGTATGATTACAGCTCATAGTAACCTTGAATTTCTGGGCTCAAGCAATTCTCCCACCTCAGCCTCCTGAGTAGCTGGGACTACAGGCACATGCCAACATGCCCGGCTATTTTTTAAATTTTTTGTAGCGATGAGGCCTCACTATGTTGCCCAGGCTGGTCTTGAACTCCTGGCCTCAAGCAATCCCCCTGCCTCAGCCTCCCAAAGTGCTGGGATTACAGACATTAGCCACTGTGCCCAACCCAGATTAAGTAATTTTTAAATTTTGCTCATCAAGAATTTAAAATCAGATTGTCAAGCTCGAAGGCCCAAACATTTAACCACTATGCTGTACTGCCAACTTAGCACTAATTTCATTCTCAGCAGGAGTGATGCCATCTAACAGCCATTGGTTTGGGGTAATGTGGCCTTCCTTCTTTAACACACATCACCCTACAAGATAATGACATAAAGCATAATTTCTGAGCAGAGCAAGAAATCAGGACAATTGGTAGTTGCATATCTGTGGGGGACTGTCAATTCTACTTTAGAGCCAGGAGGATGATTCTTGAACCAAAAAAATGTCTAATTTGAGCAAAGAATTGAGAAGGGAGGTCTCCCCACAACCAGACTCCAAAGGCACACCACTGATACCCTCCCAAGGGTGGAAGAAAAAAGAATAAGGTAGAAAACCCTACAGGAAAAAGCCTAGAGAAAAATGAGTTACCATTTCTTATTAAAGGGCTTAGAGGGTACCAGGCACCGTATAAATACTCTTTGTGTGTTAAGTGAATGAATGAATGATTACTACAGTAAATGACATGAAAAATATTCGAGTTCTGGAAAATAAGGATGATACATTTCCTACCTTCAGCAAAATGAAATGTCTTACATGTACTATGGAAGTCGCATATACATTTAACACATATTCAGTGAAAAATCAGAATATAAATTGTATCTAAACTACAATTACACTTGTATTAAAAATGATATGTATGTAGGTATAAGACCTGGAGGGAAATATGGCAAAATGAGAAGTTTGATTTATGGGAATAAGTAGGCCTATGGCTGACTCTGTTTTTATTTAAATGTTAATGTCCAAATGTCCTTTGAACCAACCTCTATGGTAGCCCTCATATTATTCTCGTATTGTTGGTGGTATGTTGGTTTCCCTTCCCAGGCCCTGAGCTCCAGGCTGGCATCAGCTGACTCATCTGTATGTTTTTAATGTGTGGCACAGTGCCTGCCACTCAGGTGGAGTTCACCTGTCACGTTGGTTAAGAACTTGAGTTCTGGAGCCAGACAAGAGTTCAAGTTCAGAGTTACTACTTCACCGTGGTGTGATCTAAGACAAATTGCTTAACCTCCATGAATGTCAACTAACTCATATGTAAAGTACAGAAAATAATGGTACCTACTTCATAGAATTGTTTCAGTGCTTAATGAGATAATTCATTAAAAATCTATTTAAAATACTTAATACCTAGAACATAGCGAGTGCCCAGTAAATGTTAGACATAGTACTACTATTGTTATTATTATTTCTAATTCTAAGTCAAATTGAGTAGGTATTATTAGTGCAATAGGCAACACTATTGTAAATTACATTAATGGAATTATCACTCACTTCATGGTTATAGAAGTGCCCGTTGATAGAGGCCCTGTGGTTTTGTCTGTCTTTTCTGTCCATCATTGGAGACTTCCTCCTTTTTCTCACCAGGGTGGCTTCACTCATGGTTCTATAGAGCAGTGGGGATTCCGGCTCTTCATTTGCATGTGTCTTCAGAGTGCTGCTGTGATAAGATAAATAGTCTGGGAAGAATAAAGATTATAAGCCCATATCATTTAGCTGCCTATCTCCTTGCATCCTGGGTGGATTTGTATATGTTCTCATTAATTTTAGGAATATTGCTATTTCCTGGCTGTTTAAAAGCATTATAGTCCACTGCTTAGCTATATGTCTACTTAGTAAATGTTGTTTGAGACTGACTCAGAAAATTCACCCAGTGTCTCATATGAAATTCTTAGGTCTCATAAGAAATGATCATGATGATCACATATTTGGTGTTTGAGCATTCTTTCAATCTTAATTTATTTTGAGGGGAGTGCATTATATGGCATTTCAGAATATTAGAGCTGTAAGAAACCTGACACTCCATCAGACTATGATCTCTTATAGTTGAGATAAAGTACAGCAAATTGAAGTGGTTTTCCATGGACACCGTACTTATCAATGACAGAAGCAGTTCTAGACCCCTATTTTACTTTGGCTCTCAGTTCATTGGGCCTACCCTAAAAAAGACAGACGTTGGGCCTTATTTTCCCTACAAAACTACAGAAAGATCCTTGAGAAGCCATTTACATGGTATGTAGAGTCTGAAAGAATTTTGTTCCCATCTTTCATAAAAGCAAAAGGAGGTCGGGCTTGGGGGCTCATGCCTGTAATCTGAGCACTCTGAGAGGGCAAAGCAGGAGGGTTGTTTGAGCCCAGGAGTTCCAGACCAGCCTGAGCAAGAGTGAGACCCCCATCTCTACTAAAAATAGAAAAATTACCCAGATGTAGTGGCGCCTGCCTGTAGTCCCAGCTACTCGGGAGGTCGAGGCAGGAGGATCACTTGAACCTGGGAGTTTGAGATTGCTGTGAGTTAGGCTGATGCCATAGCACTCTAGCTCGGGTGACAGAGCAAGACTCTGTCTCAAAAAAAGAAAAAAAAAAGCAAAAGGAATAGGATGCTTTGGACTAATGCCTACTAGTAATATATCACAGAGATAATTCACACAATAGTCTTTCTAGAACATTCCAGAAGCATATGAATGACTTTTCCCCTTAATTGCCCACTATTCTATTATTTATTCTCATCAGGTTATGTATACTCAACAATGATCCATAATCTACTAGTCAAAATTTGTTTATTGAGTTATTACAATTTCTATAGCAGATTTTAGAATATAAAATTATAGCATAGCATTATACTGACCTAGTCTGTATTGGGTGGGCAGCGTTTTTAAATGGAACTGGGCAAAGCCACAGTGTATTACTAGCCTAAGATGCAGAAGGTTCAAATCTGCCTTCCTCCCCCTTCTCTGCTTGTATCCAGATGATAGATGCACCTTTTCCAATCTCCCCAACTAAGCATGTTGTTATGTAATAATGGGCCATCTGGTGGCATTTGTGCTCTATTTTACTTTGGGATTTTAAATCATTTTCTGTTACAGTTAGAGTATCATCAGATAGGCATGAAGTATTTAATCTTTCTCTAGCGCTGGTTCTAAAATACAAATAGATTTTTTTACAGTCTCTTTAATGCTAAAACATTGGGATTCCCTTGGAGTCCAAGATAAGGGAAACCTGGAAGGAACATTATGTAGGATCTGGTTCTTACAGAGACAGCAGAGGAGGCAGAATTGAGAATAGGTTGAAAAAAAAAAAAAAAACAAGTAACGCTGGAAGTTGTTAGGCTTATGAAATTAATGCCAGCAGGACACCCTGGTTCAGTCTGACCTGGCCTGGTAGTATCACAGCCCAGTTCAGGGACGTGAACCATGTGTCCCCTCCAACTTCCAGTTTCAGTCATCAGCATCAGCTCCTCCTTGAACCTGTTTATATGATAATCACATCAAAAGTCCATGTAAAATACAAAATATCATGCCTGAGTCTCAGCAGATTACAGCTACAACATCATTATGATTACTATCCACCATAATC